CATAAAAATGAAAAGTCATAAAATTCGAATTATTTGGCTGTCATTCCATGTCTCGATATTTTTTAGAGATTTCACTGCAAAAATGAGAGTATTTGAACTTGTAATGAAACGACATTATTAATTTCCATTGAGCAGGCACGTGTACACGAAGAAATGGACTCCATATTCTTGGACAGCGACAGGCAGTGTACTTTTGTGGACACAGTCAACATGAAGTATCTGGAGAGTGTCATATTAGAAACATTGAGGCTTTTTTCCACAGCACCAATATTTGGAAGGAAACTTAATAAGGACGTAAGAATAGGTAATAGAATATAAATGAATTGTATCGTGTCACTAGTTGATACGCATATATTTAGTACACGTATTTTTAGTACACGTGTTGTAAATTAGATTAAGCCCAGAAGAGAATCATTTTTATGTTTAAGTTACAGGCAATTACGTTCTTCCAAAAGATGCCACGATTTTGATAGTTCCATTCCTGGTACATCGTGCAGAAAAATATTACCCGAATCCACTAGTTTTTAATCCAGACAATTTTCTACCGGATAAAATGCGGCAGAGAAATCCTTACGCTTTTATTCCCTTCAGTGCCGGGCCGAGGTAAAAAGAAACCTCTATGAGTCATAAAATCTTAGTAATGGCGTCACGCGAATTGTACTGAATATACTGTCACATCTGTTAATGTTTGACCCTTTTTTTCGTAGGTCGTGTTTGGGACGAAAGTACGCAATGCTGAAAATGAAGATCTTGCTCTCCACGATATTAAGGAAATATCGTATTACTTCTGACGTGGCATATCAAAATTTTTCTTTGCTAGCAGAGATTACCCTGAAAAGGGGAGACGGATTCAACATCAAGATCGAGCCGCGTAAAACCGCATCTCAGACAGGAGATACCATCTCCTCATAGGAATGAAAAAATACAAATATGGCAATGTGTATAAGTGTGTGCGTGTGTATGTATATAAATGTAAGCCTTGACAAGAAACCTATTTTTCATATTTAGAAATTTATTATTCATTTATGTAT